CTTTCCAAAATGTTGGGCCAGAATGAAGAAAGGGATGGCTGCATTCTGAGCTTTCCTGGAAACTATTTGGGTTTCTCCACCTGCATTCTTCTACCTCTCGGAGGCTGGCTTCTCAGCTCTCAGATGTCAGCTTACAGGTTACCTCCTTAGAAAGGGCTTTTTGCCCACCCTATGTGAAGAAACTCCCCATTCTCACCTTTGTTGGCCTCCTGTTTGTTTCCTTCCTGGCACCTATCACAGTCTTTAATTATTTTATTTGTTTTCTTGTTTTGGGGTGTCTTCCCCACCAGACCTCTGGTGGTGTAGTGCCTAAGGCATTTGACTGCTAACCAGAAGGCTGGCGGCTCAAACTCACCAGCCACTCTTCGGAAGGAAGATTGGGCAATTTACTTCCATAGAGATACTGCCTCGAAAACCCAGGAAGGGTTGCTATGAGTCAGATCTGACTTGACAGCAATGAGTGAGTCCCCATGAGGCTGTAAGCTCTGAGAGACAGGGCCCTCTGTTTTATTAAATTGTACTGCTAAAGTCTAACATAGTGCCTAGCTCAAAGTAGGTGCTTAATAAATGTTTGTTCAATTAAAGTTTTTCTCTTTTCCAGTTGAAACAACAATTTAAAAAACCTATAAATCCACCTATCTCAAATGACCAAGAAGAAAAAGCACTAATCTTATTCTATGTGCATGCCTACCATTTGAAAATTCTGTTTATTATCAAGGACCTGCAGGAGCTTCCAGGATCTATCAAAGGTTGGAAAGTAGACAGCTTATCTTTGGCATCTGTCTCCAACTTTCCTGTTTCCTCATTATGAATACAATCATTCAAGACACCTAAGGAATCAGTTGCCATTAAGTCAATTTATCATGACCTCATGTGTCAGAGTAGAACTGAGCTCTATAAGTTTCAACAGGCCTTTGAACCTGTTCATGGCGGACAAAGTAACACCAGAATAGAGCCAAATTTTAAAATGTGGATGAGTTGGAATGGCAACCAGAATGGGAAAAATTATGGGTCAAAGCCCTGCTAGAAACTTAATTTCCCTCTTGGAAAACAAGAGCAGCATGCACCTTGCATAGCTCTTCACAGTCCTGGCAATAATCTAATCTCATGTCAGGCTCCTGAAAGGTCTCATGAAGCCTCTTCTGAGTCTCTCATTCCAAGGCTTCAACCTGTAATTTTTCCCATTCCAGTCAGCATTCTGGATCACCCAAATTTTAAAAAGGCAGGACTGTTCCAGTTTCACTTTACTGGCCATGACTGAATCAGTTAAAACCAGTTTGAAGCCCTGGTTAGCAAGGGCCAATTTTTCAGAAGTAGATTGCCAGGCCTTTCTTCTGAGACACCTCTGGATAGACTCGAACCTCCAACCCTTCAGTTAGCAGCCCTGTTAACCTTTCAGTTGATGCTTGCACCACCCAAGGACTCCTCAGAACACCTACAAGGTGCTTGGTACCCTTGTTCTTTTGTTTTTCTCTCTGGTATCAAAATTTGCTATTAGGAAAAAAAATCCCAAACTCATTCCCACTATGATTCTTAGGATAGTATTAGCATTTAGTCACTTAAACACTAGCCATAGGAGTGAAACACCAGCAGTAGAAATTCTGTTGTCACCTAGCATTGGAGGAAGGAAATTAAGGAGAAGGCTTTAAAGGGCTTACAGCTTGGAGTATGTCCACTGTATTATCAGCCTGTTCACCCTCTTTAGCAATGAACATTTTGAGGAGAGTGAAGGAAGGAAGAGAAAATAAGAATAGATAACTGAGGTTAAAATCTTAATCATTATAAAATGAGTTCCTTGGCTTTTGCAGGCTGAGTGTAATATAAACTGTTAAATGTTAATAGCTATGTTTATAAAACTATGAAATGCACTGCTTTTTTTCTAGAAGGAAAAGACATGGATCCCAATGCTTTTTCCTGTTGGACTACTTAGGCACCTCCTGGTTGAGCACCTCACCTTTGGACAGATGCCAGGTACACCCCAAATCTCAATATCTGTGTCATGTGTTCTAGTATCAATCTGCATGTGTTCTAGTATCAATAAACAAGACCAATTGATAGTTCAGACAATTCTTGTGTTTGTTTTTCCCAGACTTTACTTCTTTCTCTAGGAAATGGCATTACCTTTGTTGGTAAAGAGACGGGTGGTCCCCTGGCTCTGTTGGAGTAAGAATCATTTCTCTTTTTCCAAAAAGATTGGTCCCAATCAGAGGCTAGTGAATATCTGCTCCCTGTCAGAGGAACTTCCTGGACCTGAGTTTCCACATCTATAAAATGAGGACTTTAAGACAGAGTCATTGTTGGGGTGTCCATCCCTCTAAAGCCTTAGTTGCTCTTTAAGGCCCAGGTCAGATCCTCTTACATATGTTTTTTTCTTTTCATATGTATCACTTCCTAGAGCCATATGGTGTTTAGGCTCAGTAAGAAGTGAATTCCCACTTACTTCTATTTTAATTGTTTCCTCCATGTGGGTTAATTTGATTGTCTCAGCTGGATTGTGAGCTCCTTAAGGACAAGTTCCAGAATCATTCCCAACACCCCAGGTATTTGAATATTGTACATTCAACATAATAACAAAAATTATAATAACAACAATGATAACAATTACCGTGGGATGACAGAATATTATGTCCCAGGAGCTCTGCTGAACTCTTAACAATCCTATGAGGTAGATATTACTAGGCCCAATTTACAGATGAGGAAACCAAAGCTCAGAGATTAAGTAGTTTGCTGAAGTCAAGCAGTGAATCAGCAGCTGGGATTTGACTCCAAAGCTATTTACTGACTGATAACTGGGGTTCAAGTGCTCCCTTCCCCCACTGTCAGCCTTCTCTTGTAATTACAGCATGAAAAGGACACAGAAGAGAGAGAGATACAGGGCTAGACTTTATTAAGACAAGTTACACATATTTCATTTTTCTTTTCTGAAAGTCTCTTGATGATGAGTCAAGGAGTGATCTTATAGACTTTCTAATTCAAGAGCACAAGTTTCACAAAACAAACACACTCCAGAGGCGGAAGGAGAGTTTACTGCTAGTAGTGTCAGAAAATAGACAAAAAAAAAAAAAAAAGGTGTCTCCTTCCAGGCACCTGAAATGACCAGTCATTCTTCCTCCCTCCACCTCTCTACCCTCATTCTTCTCCCCACTCACCAACAGCATCCAACTGTCAGCAGAGAAGGACTGGAAGATGGGCAGGTGAGCCTTCACCTTCCTCTGTCCTGACCTCTCTGACCTATTAGTTTGGGCTGATGACACAGAGGCAGTGAGACTGAGCCCCTCTGCCAGGCAGCAAGAGGAGAGGACAGAAAGACTCTAGCTTCTCCAAGGTTTTCTTTCCTAATATTAAGACTTCCCTCCCCTTCACCAAAGGAGCTCTGGTGGCAAGGTGGGTAAGGCATTTCGAGCTAACCAGATGGTTAGTGGTTCAAACCCACCAGCTACTCTGTGGGAGGAAGATGAGACCATCTACTTCCATAAAGATGTATAGCCTTGGAAACCCAGTGAGGGTTGCTGTGAGTCAGAATCGACTCGATGCTAGTGTTGTATTTTTTTGTTTGTTTCCCTTCACCTAACTTCAGTGCATGCATGGGCGTATACACACACACATGCATTTTAAAACAGCAATCATCTCTCTATAACACTCAGTATCTAATTGTGAGCATCCTTTACCTCTACCCAAAATGGCAGCCACCCAAGTTGAATGGACTAAATAGTAAAAGCAAGCCAGATCCTGGGGAAGGGAAAGCTTTCTGTAGCTCCCAATTGGCAGTCTCACTAGGGCACCAGTGAGATGTAGGAATCTCCATGCTTTTAAATAAGGCCCCTGCCAAGAGAAGTGGAGATCCCCTTATTGCTTCCACACCCCTGCTAAACTCTCCAAGGAGTGAGAGAGATCTGGAGGTTTCCATAGCTGGCATCACACCTCCTCTTCACTCTAAGTTGGCAGTCATCAAGGGAAATAAATAGGAGGGAAAAATCGTTTTCCAGTGTTTTCTCTCCTTTTTTATTTTCATCCTCAGAGCAGAGTTATTTTCTCCCAACAGGAATCTACCTCTGAGAAGCACAATGCCCTTTTTGTTTTAATACGACATGGGGAAATTCCACTGGCCTCAGTGGCTGGTGATCTGGTCAGGATCCCAGAGAGGATGACAGCTTCTTGGGCATTCCTGTTCATAAAGTCTTTCAGGGAGCATCGGGTGAACAGCCAAAGGTGGAGGAATGGAAGGGATGGTTTCTATCACTGAGTTGGAGTCACAGGATGTCAGATGGTGGCAAGGATTCCAGGGGCATTGGTGAGCAGTGACTTCCTGGAAGAGCTAGCACCCACATGGACCAGATGTACACCTGGGGAGAAGGAAAGGCTACAACATCACTGAGGTGTGATATTTGCCAGAGGTACACACTGAAGGCACTTGTAAAGTTGAGGCTGATGGTCAAGTTCCAAAGACCTTTTTCTATTACTGGGCAGAGGGAAGGACCAGTACAAAGGCCAGTACAATTATCGCCATGGAGACAATAGCTTCGAAAGCACATTTAATCCAAGATCCTTGATTCACACTCTCTGTTGGATGGGCTCTTTCTCAGTGGTGGTAGGGAGTTGTGATCAGAACAGTCCTAGAGACTTGGGAGGACCCATCTGGTACACTGCTGATAAGTAGAGGGTTATTCTATCTCTCCAGCTATACCTCACAGACCATAGTTCGCAAGCTTCCCTTCCGTTCTTCTACCCTATTCATTGAGTAATCTGAAAAAGCCTTGCTGAGTATCCTGGGTAGAGGATGAGGAGAGCACCACAGCCTGGGTGGGTACCTGTGTCTCTGACTTCACTCGTGGAGCCCTGGTCATAACTTCTGGAATAAAGGAGCAATGTCATTGAGACCAGGGGACTGAGAGGAGCAAAGGAGTGATGAGAATGAGAGAGCATGGAATCAGAAGGGACATATCTTCCCTCTGGGACCCTTCTTTGTTCCCATCTGGTTCTGGTTCCCCCACACTAGAGGGTCACACTGAGAGGTCATCTGATCTGGCCTTGCTACTGGCCTTGCTGAGGCGGCGCTTGTCACTATGGTAGCCATGGGGGAGGCGGTGACCTGGGGAGACTCCATTGGGCACCTCCGGGCTCTGGGCATAACTGATGTGGATGAAACCCTCCCCCGGAATCTCCTCCTGTCCTCGCACTTGCTCAGTGGCCAAGTTGTCTGTGTTCTGCTGGGAAGCCATCTTGTTACTGAAAGGGTTGAAAAACTTCCCTCCGGGGCCATTCTCCAGGCACTGATTGAAGTCAGGGGGTGGTGTGCAGCTCTGGGCCATGCCTGCTGAAGGGCCAGGAAGCTGAGACTTGGTCATACTGTGCTGTGATTTGACAAACCGCTGTCTGATCTTCTTCCAGCCCAGGTGGTAGAGTTCAGCCAAGCTGAGGAAGAGAGACAGTCCGGCCACAGCCAACATAAAGACAATGAAGACATTCTTTTCCGTGGGCCGGGATACGTAACAGTTGACGGGGTGGGGGCAGGGACTCCTGCGGCAGACGTGGAGTGTGTCTAGGAAGATCCCGTAGAGGAGGTACTGGCCCACAATGAAGGCCACTTCCATGGTGGTGCGGATCAGGATGCTGCAGACGTAGGTGTTGAGCAGAGTTCCCTGGAGGACAATCTTTCCGTTCACTTCTTCCCAGCAGGACAGCTCTGTCTTCTCAGCCACGGGGTACTCATAAGAGCCAGCACCCTGGACCTCTTTGGCCCTCTCGGCCTCCCTTAACTTCCGCTTCTCCTGCATGCGCACCATGTGCATGGCATGGCCCATGTACACCAGAGACGGTGTGGAGACAAAGATGATCTGCAGCACCCAGTAGCGAATGTGGGAGATGGGGAAGGCTTGGTCGTAGCAGACGTTCTCACAACCTGGCTGCATCGTGTCACACTGGAAATCAGCCTGCTCATCCCCCCAGGAAGACTCAGCAGCTGTACCCAGCACAAGCATGCGGAAGATGAAGAGGACAGTGAGCCAGACCTTGCCGATCACCGTGGAGTGCTTGTGTACTTCTTCCAGGAACTCTCCCAGGAAGCTCCAGTCACCCATCTCGACCAGGGGACAGATACCAAGACTTCTGCAAATAGGGGAGAGAGAAAGAGCAAGAGGGAGGTTTCTGCAAAGGTCTCCAAGGTCCCATCAGGTTCTGGGATTCCACTGATCCATACTACTGTGTTCTTTAAGAAAGTGCAACTTACAAGGCAGATGTACTCAAAAAGCTCTCTCTCTCTCTCTCTCTCTCTTTTTTCCCCAGACAAATATTCAAAGTGGTCGTGTTAGTAAGATTAGATCATGATTCTCACAACTTTAAGGGACCTAAAAATCCATGTGGTGTGTTATAATGTGAATTTTGTGCTCATCTCCAAAAGATGGTATATGCCTAGGCAGTGTTTTGTTCTGTTATACATAGGATTGTCATGAGTCAGAGTCAATGGATGGCAGTTAACAAGAACAACAGTCCAGAGGTTCTACTTTTAGGAGGACTGGGTTGGCCCCCAGGAATCCAGATTTGGAACAAGCTGCCCAGGTAATTCTCATACAGGCAGTGCAAAGACTACACATAGAGAAACCCTGAAGAAGTGGAAAGTACACAGGATTTGGACTCTGCTAACACAACTCTGGGAGCTCTGGGAGCATAATGCCTAAGGCACTTGACTGCCAATCCGAAGGTTGGTGGTTCAAACCCACCAGCCACTCCTCGGAAGGAAGATTGGGCAATCTACTTCCATAGTGATACTGCCTCGGAAACCCAGGGAGGGGTCGCTATGAGTCAGGTCCAACTTGACGGCACATAACAACAACAACAACACAACTCTGGGCATTTACCTCACTGAGTCTGTTCCCTCATCTGTAAAACAGGGAGGGGAACAGCTACACCAGAGACTTTTGAGAATTAAATGAAATAATATATGTGATATGCTGAAAATCATAAACCACAAATGTGTCCATATGTTTGAATGGCTGTCAGATAGAAAAATAATTTTATGACTCCATGGGGCAGAAGGTGGTAGAAGGAAGAAGGACTGGAAGTAGGAGCGGCAGCTTTGACCCCACAGGAAGTACTCTAATCAGAGCCATCAGCTGTGTTGGGAGATGGTGGAAAAACACCTGCTTTGGTCACACTAGCTAAAGGTATCACAATCAATGCTCAGGTTCCCCCAGCTGCTAAAGGGCAAGCAATGCTGATCCCCTGTGCCTCAGTGTAGTATAGCACATTCCACCCACATGGCTCGGTGTGGGTCAGTACCGCCTCTTTTCTCCAGCTCAGCTGCCCTGCTGCTAAGTGTTCTGTCTACAGAAAGCACACACACACACACAGAACTCACCCTCATGCCCAGAATACGTGCCCCAAACCTTTATGTCCCATACAAAACCTTCTCCAGCTGGCCTTCACCTTCTGCGTCTGCCCTTTTTATTGTCTGTGTCCATTAGTACTCTTGGTCCAGCCATGCCAAAGGCAGATTCCCCAATACCCTCCTTCCAGCCACCTCCTACATGCCTTCTCATCCCTAGCTGAGTAACGTAACCCAGTCAAATGTAACCTTCAAAATGTAACCTAGTCCCAATCTCTCAGGTGAAGCCTCTGCAGCTCCCATGGTGGCTCTGGGGACACTCACTCCTGTCCCAGCACTTGCTACCTTGTTTTGTAATCTTCTCCCTGTGTTCTTCCAGTTGGGGCTCCTAGAATAGAGACTGCCTCTTTCCTCTATATGAGCATCAGCCTGGCCCAGAGTAAGTGCTCAGTAAATCTTAGTTGAATGAAAAAAGGGTGAAAGACATTGGTTATTACCAATTTCTCTGAGTGGTGCAAACAGCTTGCACTACCTAAGGAAGGCACTCTAGTGGTGCTGTGGTTAAAGCATTGGGCTGCTAACCAAAAGGTCCACAGTTCAAACCCACGAGCAGCTCTGAGGGAGAAAGACGAATCAGTCTGTTTCTGTAAAGATTTACAGCCTCGGAAACCCTATGGGGGTTGCTATGAATCGGAATCAACTTGATGGCAGTAGGACTAACCTAAGGGTTTGCAATTTGAACCCAGCCAGCAATGCCATGGAAAAAAGGCCTGGCTATCTGCTTCTGTAAAGATTACAGCCAAGAAAACCTTATGGAGCTGTTCTAGTCTGAAACACATGGGGTCACCCTGAGTCAGAATCAACTCAATGGCAACAGTTTGGTTTGGCATTCCTTGCCACTTCTTCCCATTAGCATGGTGAAAAAGCCAGATAGCACTTTCTCAGTCTCCACCACAGCTAGTTCTGGTTAATGAGGTATGGGGAGAGTCTAATATAGAGAGGATGCTCTGGATAAGACTTTTCCATCCTCTGGTGGTAGGAGAGCAGCCTCACTTGCAGTCCTCCCTATCACTCCCCTCTTCTTCCTGCCTGTGGACAGTTGTGTGAGCCAAAATGTTTGAAGCTGCCTCGAGATTCTCAGAATCAACTCTGGAACCTCCTCCCTTCAGAATTCTTTCTTCCTCCTGAAAAAAACCAAACTCACTGCCACTGAGTCCATTCTGACTCATAGCAACCCCCACTGGGTTTCTGAGGCTGTAAATCTTTGCGGAAGTAGATCACCCCATCTTCCTTCCATGGAGCAGCTGGTGGGTTTGAACCACTGACCTTCTGGTTAGCAGCCAGATGCCTTATCTACACCACCAGAGCTCCTTATAAACCAAACTCACTGTCATCAAGTTCGATTCCTTCTCACAGTGACCCCCTTTGGGTTTCCGAGGTGGCAAATCTTTACAGAAGTAGATTGCCCAGTCGTCCTTCAACAGAGTGGCTGATGGGTTTGAACCACCAACCTTCTGGTTAACAGTCAACTGTCTTAGGCACTATGCCACCAGAGTTCCTTGAATTCTCACTTAGTGAACAGTAAATGTCCTTATGGCTTAAACCTCCAGCTATTCCCCATCAACAGGATGACAGACAGATAGGGGAGAACAGAACATAAATATCCCTTCCCTAGAATCATAAAATTTCAGGTTCAGATAGGATCTTAGAGATTGTCAAGTTCTAACTTTGACCATCACATCTTTGTTGTCAACATGCCCTTGGTTCCTGCTGGGACATTGTGGGGAAAGACAGGGCAGAGGTGTCATATCTCCTAGTCCAGGCCTCCTTGGCTCGTGAGTTGATGCCTTGACAGAGACCAACCTCCTGGCCTTGTCTTCTTTCAGCTCCCAGCTTTCCAGCCCTGAGGGTTCCCTGAGTCCCTGGGAATGAGAGAGTCCATGAGTGAGCAGGAAGGGTTTTATCTCTGCTCTCCTCCATATCAAAGATCCATGCAGGGCTTGAGTCTGTCCTCTGATTTGTGATCAGACATCTACCCCATTTCCTCAGATGGCGAAGGGTCTCCTTCTCCCCTGCCCAGCCACCAAATGTGGAAAATTGTGGAGTGTTCTGTTCAAAAGGAAAATGGGTGATTAGATAAGCATTTGAATAGCCTGTCATCTCTTCTGGGCTCGTGCACTGTATTCACCTTCTTCAGGGTCAGCTATACACATGCAGTGACTGCACTGTGGTGAGTGTTTGAAAGAAAAAGGGAGGGTGAAAAGAGGAATGCTAGGAGAGAAGAAGGAAGGGAGAAGAGGAGCAAAAAAGGGAAAAGACGGGGGAGGTTGTAATGGAGAAAAAGAGACCATGTAATGGCCAGTCTGATAGCTGCTTGTACTGTGGCGGCTTGCATGTTGCTATGATGCTGGAAGCTATTCCACCAGTATTTAAAATACCCGTAGGGTCACTCGTAGTGGACAGGTTTAAGTAGTACTTCTAGACTAAAACAGACTAGGAAGAAAGGCCTGGAGATTCACTTCTGAAAATTAGCCAATGAAAAGCCCCAGGGGACATCATGCTCAATTGGCACAAGATAGTACCTAAAAATCTTGTTCTACACCCTACTTTGGGGCCTTAAAAGCTTTCGAGCAGGCTTCAAAGATGCAACTATTGGTCTCCCCTTGTCTGGAACATAGAAGAGTGAAGAACATCAAAGTCATATGGAAACAATTAGTCCAAGGATATGATGGACCATGGGGACCTCGGCCCTCATGACCCTGAGACCAGAAGAACTAGTTGGTTCCAGAAAGGAATCAAAATTGGAGATCCTGGATAGAGTGGAAGGGAAAAATGTTGAACAAAATTAAAAAGCATAAAAGTGACCAGAATTACTGGTGGGGTAGAGGCTGGTGGAACCCCCAGACTATGGCCCTCGATTATTCTTCAGGCCTGGAACTAGACTCACTTCCGTGGATCAGCTCTCAGCCAAACACTGGGAAGGTCTACAAGCAGAACACCTACCCCAGGGAGATGCCCCCCTTAGATCAATCAGCCATGAGACATCTGAGAGGCAGCATTTGCATAGAGGGAAAGCTGGGAGACAGGAATGCCTAGATAAGAGGGGCACAGGGAAGAGGTGGTCACAGGGAGGAGAGGGGAGGAGAGCTTTTTAGTGTTGGGATTATAATTGGGCTGTGAAACCAAATGTGCATGAACTGTTGTGAGTAAAAGAAATCTGCTTTGTAAATTTGCACCCAAATCACACTAAAAAATATTTTAAGAAAGAAAACCTCAGTGGCCCACAATAGAATTCTTTCTGATATAGTGCTGGAAGACAAGACCCCTAGGCTGGAAGCCACTCAAACTAAGTGGTTGCAACACTGGACTCCAGCATCCCATAGAGGGTGCAGGACTGGGCAACATTTTGTTCTGTTGTACATGGGGTCACCATGAGTTGGAGCTCAGGACAACTAATAATAACAATGGTTAAGAGAAGATGGGCTTGGGAGTTCAACCACAGTTCAAATCTGTTTCAATTTGTCTGAGGTCAGATAAATTATTTAATCTGTGTCTCAATTTCCTCATCTGCAAAATGAGGATAGTATTAATTAGCTCACAGAGCTTTATGAGGTGATGAAGAAAAGACACATAGTGCAGTGCTCAGCACAGAAGACCTGAATAAAAGGAAGCCATTCCTGGAGGAGCTCTGGTGCCGTAGTGCCTAAGGCACTTGACTGCTAACCAGAAGGCTGGTGGTTCAAACCCACCAGCCAC